ATCAGCACACTTAAAACATAAACATAACCAAAAATCAGCCAAATCCATCCAGGGGTTAAAAAGTTAGTTGGAGGTCCCTTTATGACCGACCGCAAGCACATTTTCCTGCCCAAAACAGTTCCATAGATTTGGGCTGTGAGGTCGGTCTATTTCAGGCTGAAAAAAAGACTAAGTCCCATCGCCAAATGGGACTTAGTCTCTGCAGCTGAAATAAGGCTGAAAAAAACGGCTGAAAAAAAGACTAAGTCCCATCACCGAATGGGACTTAGTCTCTGCAGCTGAAATAAGGCTGAAAAAAACGGCTGAAAAAAAGACTAAGTCCCATCGCTGAATGGGACTTAGTCTCTGCAGCTGAAATAATTTCCCATTTACTGAACCAAGTGGGAAATAGCCAGGCAGGCACAAAGGGTTTGCACCAGGTCTGGGGACACAGGGGACACCGTCTTAAAGGGGCCGTGTCCCCAACAAGTCTGGGGACACGGCCTTAAAGGGGCAGTGTCCCAATCTTCCTGATGTCCCAAAAAAGGTGTTTAAAGGGCCAGCACCAGTCACATAAAGAGTCCATAAGCCCCAATATGCCCACCGACAGTCTTAAAGGGCCATACACACCAAATAAAAGTGCATACATTTTCACAATCTCCCAGGGGCCATAGTCATGCGGGAGGAGGCTGGCAAATAGGCTTCTCCACAACCCAGGGAAGCAGGGCAATTTGCCATTTAAAGGGCCCGTTACAAATAGCAGTTTGTAACAAGGTGTCAATCCATATCTGCCAAGTGACCCGATGTAGGGGGACCAGTCCCTATTCTGCTCTGTGTCAGTGTGTATCAGGGAACCTTAGGACAGGTGTCAATCCATATCTGCCAAGTGACCCGATGTAGGGGGAATGAAGTGGAAAAATCAATCAATACATTGATTATTTCTTTGTGTATCTGCCCCTGGCCAAATCAATGAAACAATGCGTGCACGCTCCCTGAAGTAATTCACACCAGACACAGGTTCCAGGTTGTTGAATAACTTGAGAAATGTTTATTCAGAGGGGACGGCAGGTCCCTTTTAAAGCAAAATTACATCATAAGCATTGTCAGAGATAACATGGAATAATACATCAATAATTGGTTAGGTGTTAAGTGGTTGCTCTAATGCTCTGCCTACTGTAGGTGATGTCACCGGGCCATGAGGGTCTCCCACGGTTTTCCGGCGCCATCTTGCTGCACGAGGTAGTTAGTCGATGTTAAGAAGGGAAGGGGGGGGGGGGAAGCTTCTAGCAGCCATTTTGATTAAAACATGTGTGCTTAGCTTTATATGTAATATATCGTGAAATGAGTAAATAGACATTTTCTCTAATTAGGAAATATGTGCAGACCTTATTTCCACAACAGGGAACAGTCCCTATTCTGCTCTGTGTCAGTGTGTATCAGGGATCCTTAGGACAGGTGTCAATCCATATCTGCCAAGTGACCCTATGTAGGGGGACCAGTCTCTATTCTGCTCTGTGTCCGTGTGCATCAGGGGCTCTGAGGACAGGTGTCAATCCATATGTCAAGGTGTCAATATGTCATATGTCAGGTGTCAATCCATATTGATTGTGATTTAGGAATGTTAGGTGATTTCTGCCCTTTATGGATTAAAACCAGACTCTGTATCAACTGTGTAATTTTCCATGGGAGTTTTGCCATGGATCCCCCTCCGGCATGCCACAGTCCAGGTGTAAGTCCCCTTGAAACAACTTTTCCATCCCTATTGTGGCCAGAAAGAGTCCCTGTGTGTTTTAAAATTCGCTTCCCCATTGAAGTCAATGGCGTTTCGGGCGGTTCGCCGGTTCGCGAACATTTGCGGAAGTTCGCGTTCGCCGTTCGCGAACCGAAAATTTCGGGTTCGCGACATCACTAGCCATCCATAGTCATCCTGGTGTTCGCTGGAATCCCTATGTGAGCTTAAGCATAACTACCGAACAGCCGGTTGTTTGGTAGTTCCAGCACGAAATTACGAGCTCCTGGAGGTCTCAGCGGTGTTCGCCTGTTTGCGTATCCGATTTTAGTTCCATGCATTCACGGGCAAACACAGCTGTTCGTGCGTAAGATGGCCGCAAACACGTGTAAAGTCCCGAAATGGCGGCCATCTAACGTGAGCACAAAGGAATTCGTGTGAAACCATGCAAACGGCTCCAAAAGCTCTGGGAGGTAAAATACCACTTAACTGTTCCCCTGCATGGTCCGATGTTCGGGATTTTGAGCTGTATTCTCCGGTAAGGATATTTGCACGAAATAGTCATTCGGTTTTTGTAATACATCCAGGGGCATTGATATATAAGTCCAGGTAAAAAGCATAGGCAAAAGCATAGTTCTGTTACATAAGGTATGTCTTTTTGCTGATGATACTAAGATATGTAACAGGGTTGATGTTCCAGGAGGGATAAGCCAAATGGCAAATGACTTAGGTAAACTACAAAAATGGTCAGAATTGTGGCAACTGACATTTAATGTGGATAAGTGCAAGATAATGCATCTTGGACGTAAAAACCCAAGGGCAGAGTACAGAATATTTGATAGAGTCCTAACCTCAACATATGAGGAAAGGGATTTAGGGGTGATTATTTCTGATGACTTAAAGGTAGGCAGACAATGTAATAGAGCAGCAGGAAATGCTAGCAGAATGCTTGGTTGTATAGGGAGAGGTATTAGCAGTAGAAAGAGGGAAGTGCTCATGCCATTGTACAGAACACTGGTGAGACCTCACTTAGAGTATTGTACACAGTACTGGAGACCGTATCTTCAGAAGGATATTGATACTTTAGAGAGGGTTCAGAGAAGGACTACTAAACATGGATTGCAGGATAAAACTTACCAGGAAAGGTTAAAGGATCTTAACATGTATAGCTTGGAGGAAAGACGAGACAGGGGCGATATGATAGAAACATTTAAATACATAAAGGGAATCAACACAGTAAAGGAGGAGACTATATTTAAAAGAAGAAAAACTACCACAACAAGAGGACATAGTCTTAAATTAGAGGGACAAAGGTTTAAAAATAATATCAGGAAGTATTACTTTACTGAGAGGGTAGTGGATGCATGGAATAGCCTTCCAGCTGAAGTGGTAGAGGTTAACACAGTTAAGGAGTTTAAGCATGCGTGCGATAGGCATAAGGCTATCCTAACTATAAGATAAGGCCAGGGACCAATGAAAGTATTTAGAAAATTGGGCAGACTGGATGGACCGAATGGTTCTTATCTGCCGTCACATTCTATGTTTCTATGTAATAATAACAGGATGTAGGTGGGTGGGGACAATCAACTGAACCGTCAGAGGTGAGTAGGGGCTGGGAGTTTAAGTAGGGGACTTACTCCTCCCACAAATTCAGGCCTAATGGCCTTTCTACATATATACATATACACATCATGTACATCCTTATTTATAATATGTATTAATGGCCTATTTTGAATTAAGGGACATTCTGTTATTTTAGTAAACATGATATGACTTTCCCCACAAACTTATCATTGCTTCTGGATATATGCAAATATTTTTAAGGATAATATTGCCCTAAATTAATAATTATATCAATAAGGCAATAAGAATGTATTCACGAATATGTGTATATGTTTTGTTTTCAATGCCACTATTATGAGAGACTATGAAAAAACTTGAACTTTGAAATAACTAAACAGGAAGTGATATTGCCAAAATCAAACATCAGATAGAGGCTTGGAATACAGGAAGAACACATAGGAAGTGACATCACTGAAATCAAACACCAGATAGAGGCTTGAAATACAGGAAGAACACATAGGAAGTGACATCACTGAAATCAAACACCAGATAGAGGCTTGAAATACAGGAAGAACACATAGGAAGTGACATCACCAAAATCAAACACCAGATAGAGGCTTGGAATACAGGAAGAACACAGCTAAAGATAATTACAGCACTTAGGAAGCATATAAAACCATACTCTGCTGTTCAACTGAGCCAATTACTAGGCTCCAGGCTTGTGAGTATTTTACCTAATTATACGAAAATATTTGTTACCAATGCTATCACACTATATATATATATATATATATATATATAAATATATATTTATCTTTCCTTGAGATATTGCATACTACTCCTGAATACACAAGAAAACTCCTAAACTACTCTTCATAAAGAAAAAAGGGGCAGGTCGCCTAAATGGACCTATAGGCAAACAACTCCCAGAGCTAAGTTATAGCTCTGGAATATGTGAGTGTTCCAATTCATGAGTATATCACACGTGTGTACATAAGGGTACTGCACTATTTCTGTTTTATTTTTTATTTTTCTTAAATGTATACACAACATCGGATATTCAAGGATATGTAAAAATACAGTATTAATACATTCCTTGTTTGCACTAGGTATACTATTAAGTTTTATTCACATATTTAAACGCTGCACTGAATCTGGTACAAAAAATTCTGTCTTTGATGTGATTTCTGGAGAATTGCACATTACAGTGTGGTAGCAGCTAAGAGTTTAACCCCTTAATGTCGTTACAGCGTTCTATGCCGTCCTTATTATAATGGGCTTTAAAGCCGTTGTGGCGGCATAAAACGCCATACCGGCTTAAGCCCCCAGGAGCCAGGAGAAACTTCCCTCCGCCGCGATCCTCTTCGGGAGGACTACCTGACAGCCCAGGCAGCCGTCCCCTGGCAAATCAGGGCCCCAGGGGCCATGTGATCGCTCTCAAAGAGCAATCACATGGCCCCCTATAAAAAATACACTGATGGGTCAGCGCTTTCTAACACAGAAAAGTAAACAGCAAGACAGCAACCCTAAAAGTGGATCCCTCTCAACTCTTAAGGATAATAAAAGGAAAAAAGACAGAAAAGGGCTGCGCCACATACAATAAAATAAAATAAAGTAAAATAAGAACAAAAGTACTATGAGTCTTGTTCCAGCTGTGCAGTCACATATGAAAGTATCTCTTATTAAAAGAGTAAGTTCAGCTGTAGTTCCTAGATTCTTTTTCGCTTAGAGGATGTGGAAGGTCTGGGTGTCTTTGGTCTCTGTATGTGGGCAGAAGAAATGACATAGATCAGTGCAATATGTCAGGACCATATAAAAGTAATAATGGTAATGCACTCACATATACGGGAGCTTAGGCCAGCTCTAGTGTGGATCCCCTATAGTGGTATAATCCCCACTATTGGGATATAGTGAAGGTTGATCTCCGCTGGTCGTTGTCTAGGTGCTCATAGAAGAAATAAAAATAGTCACAAATAGTGCTCTCAATAAAACAATGTTAGTTGCATAAAATATAAAAATGGTGGTACTCACAAGTGTAGAGCAGGCTCACTGCTCTATATTGACAGCGTTGGTGGTATGATCCCCACCTAGGATTTTCTTTTAAAAAGCCAGGAAAGAATATTGAAATAAAAGGGTAATGGTACAATAAAACTGTTGTAAAACCAAAATCCTTTATTATATCAGATAAAAAAGTGATTTCCATAACGCGTTTCGTCATAAGAGACTTTCTCAAATGGATTAAAGTATGCATCCTGGCTAATAGGCTTTAAATAAGGTTAAGAGCAATAAAAATGGCGCAAGAAATGTGTGCACCAATCACAATTGTAAAATAATAACATTACTAAAAATAGATTAATAAACCATTGGTAATCAAAAGTATAACTGTAGGATGTGTTTAATAATAACTTGAGTGAAAAACGTGGGAGATAAACATAGAAACATAGAATGTGACGGCAGATAAGAACCATTCGGCCCATCTAGTCTGCCCAATTTTCTAAATACTTTCATTACTCCCTAGTCTTATCTTATAGTTAGGATAGCCTTATGCCTATCCCACGCATGCTTAAACTCCTTTACTGTGTTAACCTCTACCACTTCAGCTGGAAGGCTATTCCATGCATCCACTACCCTCTCAGTAAAGTAATACTTCCTGATATTATTTTTAAACCTTTGTCCATCTAATTTAAAGGACCACTCTAGGCACCCAGACCACTTCAGCTTAATGAAGTGGTCTGGGTGCCAGGTCCTTCTAGGGTTAACCTATTTTTTTTATAAACATAGCAGTTTCAGAGAAACTGCTATGTTTATTAATGGGTTAAGCCTTCCCCCTAATCCTCTAGTGGCTGTCTCATTGACAGCCACTAGAGCGCTTGCGTGCTTCTCACTGTGATTTTCACAGTGAGAGCACGCAAGCGTCCATAGGAAAGCATTGTAAATGCTTTCCTATGCGACGGGCTGAATGCGCGCGCAGCTCTTGCCGCGCGTGCGCATTCAGCCCAGGAGGAGGAACGGAGGAGGAGAGAAGGAGGAGAGCTCTCCGCCCAGCTCTCCTCAATTTTCTAAATACTTTAATTAGTCCCTGGCCTTATCTTATAGTTAGGATAGCCTTATGCCTATCCCACGCATGCTTAAACTCCTTTTTTGCACCTCTACCACTTCCGCTGGAAGGTTATTCCATGCATCCACTACCCTCTCAGTAAAGTAATACTTCCTGATATTATTTTTAAACCTTTGTCCCTCTAATTTAAGACTATGTCCTCTTGTTGTGGTAGTTTTTCTTCTTTTAAATATAGTCTCCTCCTTTACTGTGTTGATTCCCTTTATATATTTAAATGTTTCTATCATATCCCCCCTGTCTCGTCTTTCCTCCAAGCTATACATGTTAAGATCCTTTAACCTTTCCTGGTAAGTTTTATCCCGCAATCCATGAACCAGTTTAGTAGCCCTTCTCTGAACCCTCTCTAAGGTATCAATATCCTTCTGAAGATACGGTCTCCAGTACTGTGTACAATACTCCAAGTGAGGTCTCACCAGTGTTCTGTACAATGGCATGAGCACTTCCCTCTTTCTACTGCTAATACCTCTCCCTATACAACCAAGCATTCTGCTAGCATTTCCTGCTGCTCTATTACATTGTCTGCCTACCTTTAAGTCATCAGAAATAATCACCCCTAAATCCCTTTCCTCATATGTTGAGGTTAGAACTCTATCAAATATTCTGTACTCTGCCCTTGGGTTTTTACGTCCAAGATGCATTATCTTGCACTTATCCACATTAAATGTCAGTTGCCACAATTCTGACCATTTTTCTAGTTTACCTAAATCATTTGTCATTTGGCTTATCCCTCCTGGAACATCAACCCTGTTACATATCTTAGTATCATCAGCAAAAAGACATACCTTACCATCAAGACCTTCTGCAATATCACTAATAAAAATATTAAAGAGAATGGGTCCAAGTACAGATCCCTGAGGTACCCCACTGGTGACAAGTCCAAGCTTCGAATATATTCCATTAACTACAACCCTCTGTTGCCTGTCACTCAGCCACTGCCTTCCCCATTCAACAATATTTGGATCCAAACTTAAAGATTGCAGTTTATTGATAAGTCTTCTATGTGCAACAGTGTCAAAAGCCTTACTGAAATCTAGGTAAGCAATGTCTACTGCACCACCCTGATCTATAATTTTAGTTACCCAATCAAAAAAATCAATAAGATTAGTTTGGCATGATCTCCCTGAAGTAAACCCATGTTGTCTCTGATCTTGAAATCCATGTGTTTTTAGATGTTCATCAATCCTATCCTTTAACATGGTTTCCATCACTTTCCCCACTACTGAAGTAAGGCTTACTGGCCTATAGTTGCCCGACTCCTCCCTATTACCTTTCTTGTAAATGGGCACAACATTCGCTAACTTCCAATCTTCTGGGACTACTCCTGTTAACAATGATTGGTTAAATAAATCTGTTAATGGTTTTGCTAGTACACCACTAAGCTCTTTTAATAGCTTTGGGTATATTCCATCAGGTCCCATTGACTTATTTGTCTTTACTTTGACAGTTGAAATAGAACCTCTTCCTCTGTAAACTCACGTGTAATAAATGACTCATTTATCCTTTTTCTCAACTGAGGTCCCTTTCCTTCATTTTCTTCTGTAAATACAGAACAAAAATATTCATTGAGGCAGTCAGCCTGACCTTTATCCTCTTCTACATACCTTCCTTCTTTTGTTTTTAATCTAACTAATCCTTGTTTTACTTTTCTTTTCTCATTTATGTATCTAAAAAAATGTTTTATCCCCTTTTTTACTGACTGTGCTATTTTCTCTTCTGTGTGTGATTTGGAAGCTCTTATAACTTGCTTAGCCTCTTTCTGCCTAATCTTATAGATCATTTTGTCTTCCTCACTCTGGGTTTTTTTATAATTCCTAAATGCTAACTTTTTGTTTTTAACTATTTTGGCCACATCTGCGGAGTACCACAGTGGTTTCTTGAATTTTTGCTTTTACTGACAAGCCTAATGCAATTTTCTGTTGCCTTCAATAGTGCAACTTTTAAATAATCCCATTTTTCTTGGACTCCATTTAAATTGCTCCAGTCTGATAATGACTCCTCTACCCATATTCTAATTTTAGAAAAGTCTGTTTTTCTAAAGTCTAAAACTTTTGTTTTTGTGTGGTGTGACTCAGTCACTGTTCTTATATTAAACCACACTGACTGATGATCACTGGATCCTAAACTTTCACCTACAGTAATATCTGATACCAAATCTCCATTTGTTAACACTAAATCTAGTATGGCCTCTTTACGAGTTGGCTCCTCAACAACTTGTTTTAGAGACAATCCCAGTAGGGAGTTTAGAATATGTGTGCTCCTGGCACAAGTAGCTAATTTTGTTTTCCAAGTTACATCAGGAAGATTAAAGTCACCCATGATGATAACTTCCCCCTTCATTGTCATTTTAGCTATTTCCTCAACTAGTAGAGGAGAAGGAGCCTACTAACCCTTCTCCTCAGCTGGGCTCCAACCAGGCTACTCCCTTGGTAGCGCTGGCACCAGGTCAGAGCACTGCTGGTCTCTGCCCACTCAGCAACCCACCGATCCAGAAGGCTAGTACCCCCCAGAGCCGTGGTGGAGCCCCTGGACATGGACAAGCTACCCACTACCCCAGGTGCAGTAACCAATTCTTGTGGGTGGGCTGCACTACTGACTATGTTTTGTGGGTGGGTTGCTGGACTAACCAAGGCACTGACCAACAGGAGGTCAGATACCTTGTTAGTCTTTTTGGGAAAGGGGAGGAATGTGGCGAAACTGACCTCGCCACTGGGCATTGGAGAAGACTGATTGCCAGCCTCCTGCCATGTGACTATGGCCCCTGGGATGTATTGCCCTTTTAAGACATGATTTGGGCATAAGGGATTTGTGTTGTGCTGCTGCTGGCCCTTTAAGAACCATCTGGGGACATACTGTGGAGTTACTGGGTGGCCACCATTTCCTGTATCAGAGAAGCACATGGTGAGAACAATGGATGGCGGCCATTTTAACTTACAGACACTGTTTGGACTTTTCAACACGGTGCCATCTCGCCAGTATTTGGTGCACAGAGACATCGTGCAGTGGTTTTGGACTATACAGCAGGGGACACATTATACAGTGATTGTTTTTCATTTAGCCTGTATATGTTCTGCAGAATCTGCATTAAACTGTATCTTTTTATGGGGTTATTGCATGTTTTGGGGTCCCTGTGATGTGTTTTATGAAACTGTATTTCTCTGTCTGTGATAATTAGATTACCCATTGTGTAAGGTAATTGTATTACAGGCAGAGGGGAGGATTTTGTGTGGGAGTGTCTGTGTGTATTGTACAGATTGATTGGTTGTTCTGTGAAACCCTGTGGGCAGTACTAAGTTTGTGGATTGGGAATAAAAGAGGCTGTATGTGCCAGTACAGTCAGTTCCTGCTTAACCCTCAAAGTGAAGTGTCGTCTCATTATTGGGGGAGGATTTATTGTATGCTGTTCCAGTTTGACTGCTAGGAGTGTAAACCTATTTGCATGGTTTTTCCTATTCGGCTGTATACAACATTCACATGCTTGAGAGCATTCATATGCTCCTACGGTTCGGTGGTTTTGGTGTCTGCTTCAGTGCTTAGAGTCCTCAGGAAGTGCTAGGAGCCTCCTTCAACGGAGGTACCCAGTAGGGGAGCTAGGTGATCTGTTACAGAACAGCGCAAAACAGCTGGATTAAAGATGGATTTCAAACTATTGAAGTTAGGGACGAAAGAGCGAGGACCTCAGGCGGACGGACTATTGTTCGGAGAACCATTTATCTCAGCAACGGTTTGCTAGTAAGGAAGAAGACAGGAGACTGTCGCCCAGTCATCAACCTACGCCAACCCAATGGTTTTGGGGCGTACCGACACCTCAAGAAGGAAGGTATCCATCTCTTAGGGGATCTACTCCTCGAAAGGGGTTTGCAATGTTGGATTTGAAGGACACTTACCTACTGGTTCACATGGTGCCTCGTGAAGTTTCTGAAGCCGGTCACGGCGCACTGAAGAGCAAAGGGTATCCAATGTCGCATACCTAGACGACTTACTGACCTTTTGCAAATCCAATTCCTGACTACGTTTACAGACGAGATTTATGTTTACAGTTTCGGGAATTGTTGGGATTCATAGTGAACAGAGAGGAGTCGGTTCGATCCAAGTTCTGAGTGATTCAGTTCCTCTACTTCGGAATATATTCCACCTTGGGCTTACACCTTCCCACATCATTGATAGCGACGTTTCGTAAGGAAATTCGACGGGTATGGCGGAATGGCACCATATTTCCCAGGACCGCTTCACTACCGGGCCAGACAGCGGCTGAAAGCTCACTGCCTAAGATCCAGACACACCTATGAAATTGGGATCAGAATAGCGAAGACTTCGATAGTACTCATTACCGTGGTAAAGGAGTCAAGCGTGGCACCCAGATTGGTTGTCCTTAATCGGGATCATCCTCTGCTCCTTCAGTTTTAACTTGCCTTCGGGCAGATCCAAAAGGAGAATATCATCCAATGATAATGCACATGTGTGTCTGGAGTTGGTGGATTGGTGTCTTTCAGGGGAAACTAGTACGTCAAGGGACTATCGCAACCAACTAAAGACCTATTATGGGACTCATGGACACCAGGTATTCCCCAAAATAACTTATCCGCATGGAAAACCTGGAGTCGCTGGTGTATGGGAAGGGACTGCGATCCCTTCATTACAGGATACGTTATGCGATTTCGACGACACATAGTACGATTCACGACACTCCGGTCGATCAGGAGCCTTTGATATGCCGCTTTCTGCGGGGTATCAAACTGTCCAGAACCATGCGTCAAAGTATCACTGTTGTGGGACTTTGATTTGGTTCTTTTGGAACTAGTCAGATAACACGGACCTATCCCTCCGTCAGCCATAGTCACGCTACTTTTAGGTCTTTTCATTGGGTATCAGATGTACTGTAGTTCGACGTAGACAGTCTTTTCGGTATCACCAGAAGGAATGATTTCTACGGTGTCTCGTAGAACTAAATCTTATCCGTGTCCGTATCTTACCCTGTTCCCGCCGGTTTCCCAGTCTTTGTGCAGTTAAAGCGGTATTTCGTTACATGGAGATCACGACAACACTTAGATTGTCACATTCAGGACATCTGCTGTTCTTATACCAACCATACAAGCCAGTTACCATGAACACTCTGTCTAAATGGGTTCATTGGTTGTTATTGCTAGCCGGGGTGGAGACATGTTTTGGGTACTCATTCGGTACGAGGCGCAGCTGCTTCTCAGGCCTTCATGGGGGGCCTCTATATTTTGCAGCGACGAATTGGACACGGATAGACTACTTACGTATATTTACACAGCTTTAAAAATGCAAAATATGAAGCCTCCTGTCATGTGGTAAAATTGTAGATTATGCTAACGTAGTGTACCTATAATCTTAATTTTAATAATGACAGGAGGCGAATATTTTCCCTCCCTGTTTCCCTCCCTATACTCTGGGAAATTCTAATATTCTGGTTTGTCATTTTCTCAGTGTAATTATAAGTTTTTGGTATTTCAGTATGTTTATGGGATGCTTATCTGGTTAACATGTGTTAGATCCGTGTTGATTATTAAGTATACTATGGTTACATAGTTACATATAGTTACATAGCTGAAAAGAGACTTGCATCCATCAAGTTCAGCCTTCCTCACATTTGTTTTTTGCTGTTGATCCATAAGAAGGCAAAAAAAAAAACAATTTGAAGCACAATTTTGCAACAAGATAGGAAAAAAATTCCTTCTTGACCCCAGAATGGCAGTCAGATTTATCCTTGGATCAAGTAGTTATTACCCTACATTGAAAGATTATAGCCTTGAATATTCTGTTTTTGCAAGTATGCATCTAGTAGCTGTTTGAACACCTGTATAGACTCTGATAAAACCACTTCTTCAGGCAGAGAATTCCACATCCTGATTGTTCTTACAGTAAAAAAAAACCTTTCCTTAGCCTTAGACAAAATCTTCTTTCTTCCAGTCTAAACGCATGGCCTCATGTCCTATGTAAAGGCCGGTTTGTGAATAGATTTCCACACAATGGTTTGTATTGGCCCCGAATATATTTGTATAATGTTATCATATCCCCTCTCAGGCGACTTTTTTTTTTAACTAAATAGTTTTAAATTTGTTAACCTTTCTTCATAGCTGATATGTTTCATTCCTTTTATTCATTTTGTAGCCCGCCTCTGCACTTTTTCTAGTGACATAATATCCTTCTTTAGAACAGGTGCCCAAAATTGCACAGCATATTCAATATGTGGTCTTACCAGTGATTTATAAAGAGGCAAAATGATATTCTCGTCCTGCGAAAGAATGCCCTTTTTGATGCATGACAATACCTTACTGGCCTTGGCCACTGCTGATTGACATTGCACATTGATTGTTTAATGTTTCAGTATATTAACTTAATATAAATATAGATACGTATAGTACTGGATTTAATGTGGACAACAGTTGGTTTCCATCACCTTTCACGTATTTCTGTTCTTTTCAGCGTAATCATCATTGATGGATTTGACAAGATAAAGCTGGAAGGTTTCAAGTTTCGTTTCAAGTAATGTGCTACACGTTACTCAGGACTGTTATTTGAATTCCCTGACGTTATAATAGACTGTTTTTCGCATCAAAGAAAGAGGAAGTCATGTGTCTGTCAGGGCTTTATATATGGATGTGATGCCTGTTACTGATTGGTTTAAAGTTTTTTTCTGATTGACTTGTCCTGCTGGAGGCATAAAGTAAAGAAAGTTATGAAAAATATTCGCCTCCTGTCATTATTAAAATTAAGATTATAGGTACTCTACGTTATCATAATCTACAATTGTATTAACATGATTTCTGCAACAATAATATTGTTTTAAGTTCTTGCTTAGTTACCATGATATTTCATAGTCCTATTTCTGATCTTTCATAAAAATATTGTCAGTTTTTCTAAGTATGATAAACAATAATTTGTAGTGACAGATTTCCTTTAACTCGCATTATATTTCTTTCAGGGGTTTCTGTCAGCAAAAGTTATCCCGAAGGACGTGACAAGAACAGATAAACACTAAGCAAGACTATGAAGAAATCTTTTAATAAAAGGATCAAGGAATACAACTCTGAAAAATCAAGGAGTATCACAGAATCCTATATAAGTACAAAGGCGACAGTAAACAGTAAAACAAAATGTTTCACATGTTCTGAATGTGGAAAATGTTTTGGCCAGTACGCCAATCTTGTTACTCATCAGAGAACTCACACAGGAGAGAAACCTTTCTCATGTTCTGAATGTGGAAAATGTTTTAGCCAGTACGCACACCTTGTTGCTCATCAGAGAATTCACACAGGAGAGAAACCTTTCTCATGTTCTGAATGTGGGAAATGTTTTAGCCATCACTTAAATCTTGTTACTCATCAGCGAACTCATACAGGAGAGAAACCGTTCTCATGTTCTGAATGTGGAAAATGTTTTAGCCGTTACTCAAAGCTTGTTACTCATCAGAGAACTCACACAGGAGAGAAACCTTTCTCATGTTCTGAATGTGGGAAATGTTTTAGCCATCACTTAAATCTTGTTACTCATCAAAGAACTCACACAGGAGAGAAACCTTTCTCATGTTCTCAATGTGGAAAATATTTTACCCGTTCCTTAGGTCTTATTCAACATCAAAGAACTCACACAGGAGAAAAACCTTTCTCGTGTTCTCAATGTGGAAAATGTTTTACCCGTTCCTTAGGTCTTGTTCAACATCAGAGAACTCACACAGGAGAGAAACCTTTCTCATGTTCTGAATGTGGAAAATGTTTTAGCTGTCACTCAAGTCTTGTTCAACATCAGAGGACTCATACAGGAGAGAAACCTTTCTCATGTTCTGAATGTGGAAAATGTTTTAGCTCTCACTCAAGTCTTGTTCGACATCTGAGAACTCACACAGAAGAGAAACCTTTCTCATGTTCTGAATGTGGGAAATGTTGTAGCCGTCACTCAAGTCTTGTTCAACATCTGAGAACTCACACAGGAGAGAAACCTTTCTCATGTTCTGAATGTGGAAAATGTTTTCGAATGAACTCCAGTCTTATTAAGCATCAGAGAACTCACACAGGAGAGAAACCTTTCTCATGTTCTGAATGTGGGAAATATTTTAGCATGAACTCAAGTCTTGTTCAACATCTGAGAACTCACACAGGAGAGAAACCTTTCTCATGTTCTGAATGTGGGAAATGTTTTACCCAGCACTCAAATCTTATTTCTCATCAGCGAATTCACACAGGAGAGAAACCTTTCTCATGTTCTGAATGTGGAAAATGTTTTAGCCTTCACTCACATCTTGTTACTCATCAGAGAACTCACACAGGAGAGAAACCTTTCTCATGTTCTGAATGTTGGAAATGTTTTAGCCAGCACTCAAATCTTATTACTCATCAGCGAATTCACACAGGAGAGAAACCAACTTAACCCCTTAAGGACACATGACGGACATTTTCCATCATACTGATCCTACCGTTAAGGATGCATGATGGAAAATTTCCGTCATGCAGTATTTTTCCAGCAGGGTCTATTTCCTTGCTGGTAACTATGAATCCCAGGTATCATTTGATTACTGGGGCTCCCCTCTCTCACCTGAATTAGTGGCCCCAGACTGACCTATGCTCTTTTTGCAGAGCTTAAAGGGAGTACTGCAAACAAGTATTTAAATTGGGATTTAAATCCCCACTGTTACAATTTTGTGTGATCAGGGTTAAATCCCTGCTCACACCAGGGAGTTCCAGGTATCAATGGAAACCTGGAGCTCCCCTCTATCAACTGGGGACATTTTGTGTGACCCCAGCCTTTTTGATGAGCTGCATGTAGTGCTGGAAGTCAGGACGGCATGTATCTGCTTAAATAGGCATTTAAATGCCTATATCTAGATTGTAGTGTGAGGAGAGTTAAATCCCTGCTAACACCATGAAACCCAGGTATCATTACAAATCTGGGGTTCCCCTCTGTCAGCTGGGGCCATTTTTAGTGGCCCCAGACTGACAGCTGAGCTGCATGCAGAGCTCAAAGTGAGATCGGCATGCAGCTCTTTTAATGGGGATTTCAATCCCCATAGACAGCAATGTAGTGTGAGCAGGGTTAAATCTCTGTTCACACTAGGATACCTTTGGCTTACCTCTGTCAGCTGGGGCCATTTTTAGTGACCCCAGACTTTTTGATGAGATGCATGCAGTGGTGAAAGTCAGCACTGCATGTAGCCCTTTAAATCCACAAAGAACACTGCAGCTGAGCGATCAAGCTCGGCTACAGTCATTCTCTCAAGTGATCTGGTGCTTGGGAAACCCACAGGGTCTGAATACACCCTGGAGGGTGAATACACCCTCTATGCCCCAATGCCATTCTGATCAGTGCTGGGCTTTTTCAGTTGCCCAGCACAGATCACATTGCATTGGGCATAATGTCTTCAATGTAAGAAATAGGAGACTGCAATACTGAAAATAGCCAGTAGATGGCAGCAACGTACCACTGTCTGTTTTAGTTTAAAATCCCTTTACTAATATCAGTACTGATATTAGCAGAGGGAAACCTTTGGGATTAAGATTAATTTAAGGATTATTATTCGGTTTAGAATAAGTATTAGACTTATTATCAGGTTTATTATTAGGTTTATTATTAAATTTATGTTTAAGATTAGGTTTATAATTAATTGTAGTATTGGGATTATGGTTCAGATTAGGATTAGGGTCAGCACGGGCATCCCTTGCTGAATATAGCAAGTAAATTCCTCTGCTGACATTAGCAGGGGGAATCATTTTAACACTATTGCTAAAGGTAGGATTGAGATTAGGATTAAGGTTATAATTAGGGTTACATATGGGATTATGGTATGGGTTAGGATTGTGGTGAGGTTTATGATTAGATTGAGGGTTAGATTTGAGATTAGGGTTTGGTTTAGAATAAGGGCTTGGTTTAAGATGAAGATTAAGATCGCTACGTTCCAAAATATACATATGGGGTATATTTGTACTCAGAAGATGTTGCTTGGTACAGCTAAGATAATTTTATGACAGTGGGACACACGAGATTTATAAAATAAGCATCAAAAATACTATGTGTATGTAAAAATTTAAAAATAAAAATGAATACCACAAACTTTGAAACAAAATGGTAACAAAATGTCACTTCAATAAAGCTTATAGTATTTTATGTGAGAGTCCCCATTGTAACGAATCGCCTGGCACCCCGACCGAGTACCTCAGTCTATCGCTGATTCCTAGTACTTGCGAGTACCATAATCACAGCACTGGAACACCATAACCACCGTAGACCCCGCGAACCGCAGCAGCTTGGTTGGGGTCTCGCCGTCCTCCACCCACCTGGACCCAAGACCAGGATCCAGCTTCCAGTGGGTAGACCTCTCCTAGACCAGAGAGCGTTGCAGGAACAGGGGACAAAGCGCAGCACTTCTGCCCACAGTCACCGTGGCTTGACTGGGGCCCTGGAACCGCTCCTTCCTGGAGCCGAATGGGGAATTAGCCCCAATTAGTTGAATCTCCTGCTAGCTGGAACAGTAGACACAGGAGAAAATATTTCCCTCCAATAACAGGATGACACACAGTTTTGGAGTGTAAGCTGGAATAGCATTTTAATGGAGGCACACTGGCCTTTAATGCAAGTTTCCCAACAAGGGCGACACCCAGGTGGACCTTGTTGGGCACAGGGACACAAAGTGAACAAACCAATAAAAACAGAGTCATACAGTGAGACACTCCAACACACAAACAATAGAATCCATCCTCTGTGCTTGGGAGATAATTGAATCAGGAACTGTACTAATCTAACCTAATTATCTCCAAGCACAGAAAAAACAGACAATTTTATGAAACCCCAAAAAGTACCTTAAAAAAACACAAAATCCCATAAAAGTCACATCCCCGATCTGGGTGAACAACATATCCAAAAATCACCCAGATCGGTTCAGGGGTTCAGGAATTTCCTGGAAGTCATAGTTTTGACCGACCGCAAGCATGGCCCCATGCCCAAAACAGTTCCAGGGAAATCACTGCTAACAGTCGGTCAAGTTTGGTAGTCTTTTACAGGTTTCCCTGCAGGGCCCATAGTCTGTAGGCAGGAGGCTGGCAAGCAGGCTCCTCCAGTAGCTCGTGGCAAACTCACTTGGAGAGGGGAGTTTGTCACACCCATAGTGTCCACTATTGTAAATGGTATGCATTGGTGGCGTAATTTAAATATATGAGCGGCTAAGATGCCCCAAAATGAAACAAAGACCCATCGTCAATTTGCCATTTAAAAAAAAACAAAAAAACTGTACTGGGCCAGATATAATTTTAGCCTTGTATTTCTTCCACAAAAACCTTGCTTAGGTATACAATGGGGGTCATTTTGTACTCAGGAAATATAGCTGAGAATAATTTAGTGATTTAATTTACAGTAGCATATATCAAGTGTGACAGAACCATCTGTCTGTCTATTGTGGTGGATTCGTCTATTTCTGCCCCCCTTTCGTGTAAATGGCTGTTTCTATAGCCCAGCCATACGAATGACTGTTTTCACCGAACAAATTCACCGAACGGGTGGCCACCCAGAGTGTGCTGCTGGTTAACCTCTTGATCCCAATTGGAACGTTGTGGTTAACCGCAGACACTTCTCAATTAAACCGAATTCAGGGTGGCCGTCGTTCGTATGTCAACCACGAGGCAGCGGCCATTTTAAAACTCACGAAAGTCCAGCGGTGTTTGGCATTGATTCCATGGAACTAAAAATGGACACTTTTTCTGCTGAACACCGCTGAAACAACGGGTCGCCTGGCTGCCTCGACGAAAGCGTACGAACACCGGCCGCTCGGGAGTTTGGAAACACACGAAAGGACTTAACCCAGATAGCCTTCCCATGGAGTCAATCGCATACCGAAAGACTGTCAGGACTTTGACTCCATGGTGATTGAACTATGTGTGTGGGATCTGAGCGCTATTCGCCAATAATATACACTCAGATCCAGGCTATCTGTGGATATGTGATGCAAATGGGAAATGTTCGGTTATTTTAAATTTATGTATTTTTATGTATTTTCTGGTCAATACCAGAAAAATGGTGATTTGTCTTTGTCCTGGAGATAATTGAATTACTTCTCAATTATCTCCAGGGCAGAGGGGAGGAAACCATATTGCATTATGGGAAAAGCTTGTAACTGTACGTCTGAAATGTCCCCATGTCCATCTGTAATTCCAGTCTCCCATTTGGTCCCCTAGGGGAGTGTCCACCAAGTGGGAGACCTGCATAAATACGGGCATGTAGCCCACAGTAAAGCCAGATCTTGTTTGACCCTCAATGCGGAGCTTCTGTCTCGTTATTGGGGGGGATTTCTTATTTGTGCATAGAGACTGCTTATTGGAACCGAAGGTGGATATCGTTGTTCGGCGGCTAGCAGCAGTTCGTGGATTTCCGTTCGGGAGTTTGGAGCCTTTCACGGATCCCGGTCGGGAGATTACCGCTTCCCCTGATGGTGGTTCGTATACTGCAGTCTATGCGAATGGAGTTATTGGTATTGCAGAAGGGGAAGGCTAACTAAACGGCGGTTTCGTTTAAAGACACCAGGAGTGTCTTAACATCAAGTTTCCAATATTAACCACTAAAATGCAACATGTGTGTATAAAAATGCAAAAAATAAAACAATACAGTTACATAGTTACATAGTTACATAGCTGAAAAGAGACTTGCGTCCATCAAGTTCAGTCTTCCTCACATTTGTTTTTTGCTGTTGATCCAAAACAATAAAATTTTAATGAAATTGGTGCTAAAATAACTGTATTATAAAGCTCAAAATATACCATATGACATAGCCCCTGGTGTTTACTTTCACAAATAGTATGCATTTATGGGGTACTTCTAACTGTCAAACTGCTACAATGCCCTAAAATGTGATATATACACATCAAATCCATTTATCATAATGATTATGACTCTTTTAAGGCACTAGCTTCACAGGATAGTGGCAAAGACATATATTGGGGATATTGTTTTATTCAGAAGAGTTTGCCGAGCATAATTATGGGGGTTTGATCACAGTGGCACATACCAGACTTGAAAAATGACCTTAAAAAAATGTAATATGTATGTAAAAAATGCAAAAAAAAATATTTTACCACACAGTTTACCTAAACTGGTGAAAAAATCCATTATGTTAAGGCACAATATACACCATATGAGATACACTGTAGTGTCTATTTTCACAAATGGTGTTACGGTACCTCCAGTAATAAAATGCACAAACCGCCGTTTAGCGAGTATTCCCCGTTCGCAATAATGTGGTCGGGTAGCGGGTATAATAAAACCATGCGAACCACCAGCCAGGGAACACTCCCAACTCCCGAACGGTACCTGTACGTCAATATCTCCCAAGCGGCAAATAATCCAAATAAGTAGTCTCTAGTCGCTGGTAACCAAATCCCCCCAATAACGAGACCAAGCTCCGCTTTGAGGGTAAAACACAAACTGATTTACTGTGGGCTACCTGCCCGGTATTTATGCAGGTCTCCCACCTGGTGGACACTCCCCTAGGGGACCAAATGGGAGACTGAAATTACAGAAGGACATGGGGACATTTTGGACATACATCCCCACAATATTCCCAGCATGCAGTACAGTTCCCTCCCCTCTGCTCGGGGATAATTGGGAAGTAACTCAATTATCTCCCCGAGCAGAGGCAATCGCCATTTTAAATACAAGTCACAAAAACACATGAAAATCTATAACTTCATAACTGCCGAACATATTACATTCGTATTACATATCCCCAGATAGCCTGGATCTGAGTGCACATTATTGGAGAATAGCGCTCAGATCCCATTCGCACAGTTCAATCGCCATGGAGTCAAAGTCTCTTTCAGTTCTTCGGTATGCGATTGACTCCATGGGACGGCTATCTGGGTTAAGTCCATTCGTGTGGTTGAATCTCCCGAACGGCTGGCATTCGTATGCTTTTGTCGATTGAGAAGGGGAGGTCGACGGCTTCAGCGGTGTTCGGCTGAAAAAGTGTCCGTTTTCCGATCCATGAAATAATCGTCGAACACCGCTGGTCGTTCGCATGGACAAAATGGCCGCCGCCTCGTGGTCGACATACGAACGACGACCACCCGGCATTCGGTTTTAATTGAGAAGTGTCTGTGGTTAACCGCAACGTTCTAATTGGGATCAATAGGTTAACCAGCAGCACACTTCTCTTCTGGGTGGCCGTCCGTTCGGTAGTTCCGTTCGACAAAAACCGACATTCCCTTGAATAAAGCATACGAATGGGGAAATTCATGTAACCGGCAGAACAGGCGAACAAAGCATTTGTAATCCAGACAGATGGGTCTGTCACAAATGGTAAGTCCTTGAGGGGTAAATTCAACAGTCAAACTGCTACAATGCCGCAAAATGAGACTTGCACCCATCAAATTTATCTATCAAAATTATCACAGTGAAAACTGAAATGGCCAGGTCTCTTTTATGGCACTGTAACTTCACAGGATAGTGGCAAAGGCATAGATTTGGGATATCGTTTTACTCAGTAGATATGGCTGAACACAATATGGGGTTTTCTACAGCAGTAGTATATATCAGCTTTATGAAATACACATTAAAAATCCTTGTTTTATGTGTGTAGATTAGAAATCTGAAAAAACACACAATTTTACTACATTATTTAGCAGAGATTGGTGGCAAAATGGCTTCGTAAAAAGTGTCAGAATACCCTTTGGTAAATAGCCTGTGATGTGTGCTTTATATAAATATATACTTTTGTGCAAAAGTTTGCTTTCTGTGATGGCTATTAAGCTTACAAGACAAACATACCAAATTCTAAAATAGCTCCACATTAAAAATTTATTTTAGTCCTTGTATTTTGTGACTTGTAACTTTCAAAATAAGCTGAAATCCTAGACATATTATGTACTCTGAAAATCAGAACAACTAATTTTATATTTTTTTGAATACTTTCCTTAAGATGCATTTATCATACACACATTATTATTATTGCCTAAACTGTGGGGAAATTTTTTTTTTGCATTTTTTGCATTTATTTTACAATAAATAAGAATTTATATATGTATATGTCACATCAAATGAAAGCCATTTTTGTCCTTTAAAAAATTGTATATAATATGTGTTGGTGCAATAAATAAGAAAAATTGAGGTTGAACACAAACAGCAAGAAATGCAAAAATTGCTTGTGTCCTTAAGAGTAAGTCCAGTCCACTTTTCTCAGGCTGACATAAATATTAACTGTAGCCAATGTACAAATGATGCATTGGTATTGTGTAGTGATGTCGCGAACCCGAAATTTTCGGTTCGCGAACGGCGAACGCGAACTTCCGCAAATGTTCGCGAACCGGCGAACCGCCCGAAACGCCATTGACTTAAATGGGCAGGCGAATTTGAAAACACACAGGGACTCTTTCTGGCCACAATAGTGATGGAAAAGTTGTTTCAAGGGGACTAACACCTGGACTGTGGCATGCCGGAGGGGGATCCATGGCAAAACTCCCATGGAAAATTACACAGTTGATACAGAGTCTGGTTTTAATCCATAAAGGGCAGAAATCACCTAACATTCCTAAATCACAATCAATATGGATTGACACCTGACATATGACATATTGACACCTTGACATATGGATTGACACCTGTCCTCAGAGCCCCTGATGCACACGGACACAGAGCAGAATAGAGACTGGTCCCCCTACATAGGGTCACTTGGCAGATATGGATTGACACTTGTCCTAAGGATCCCTGATACACACTGACACAGAGCAGAATAGGGACTGTTCCCCCTGCATAGGGTCACTTGGCAGATATGGATTGACACCTGTCCTAAGGTTCCCTGATACACACTGACACAGAGCAGAATAGGGACTGTTCCCCCTACATCGGGTCACTTGGCAGATATGGATTGACACCTGTCCTAAGGTTCCCTGATACACACTGACACAGAGCAGAATAGGGACTGGTCCCCCTACATCGGGTCACTTGGCAGATATGGATTGACACCTTGTTACAAACTGCTATTTGTAACGGGCCCTTTAAATGGCAAATTGCCCTGCTTCCCTGGGTTGTGGAGAAGCCTATTTGCCAGCCTCCTCCCGCATGACTATGGCCCCTGGGAGATTGTGAAAATGTATGCACTTTTATTTGGTGTGTATGGCCCTTTAAGACTGTCGGTGGGCATATTGGGGCTTATGGACTCTTTATGTGACTGGTGCTGGCCCTTTAAACACCTTTTTGGGACATCAGGAAGATTGGGACACTGCCCCTTTAAGGCCGTGTCCCCAGACTTGTTGGGGACACTGCCCCTTTAAGACGGTGTCCCCTGTGTCCCCAGACCTGGTGCAAACCCTTTGTGCCTGCCTGGCTAATTCCCACTTGGTTCAGTAAATGGGGCTTACTGAACCAAGTACCACACAGGCAGACCACCCAGAAGTGGAAGTGTGCAGGCAATTTACCTCCCAGAAGCTGCGGTTAACCGCAGCTTAATTGACAATGCTGGGAGGTCTTTGTTCGTTTGCCGAACACGTGGCGGCGGCCATCTTTGATCATTCGACGAGGTCAGCGGTATGTGTAGCCAAATTCATGGAACGAAATCGGCTACACATTTCGCGGGCTACCCATGAGGCTACCTTCTCCCCTACTGGTTTTACAGCTGCAGAGACTAAGTCCCATTCGGCGATGGGACTTAGTCGTTTTTTCAGCCTGAAATAGACCGACCTCACAGCCCAAATCTATGGAACTGTTTTGGGCAGGAAAATGTGCTTGCGGTCGGTCATAAAGGGACCTCCAGCTAACTTTTTAACCCCTGGATGGATTTGGCTGATTTTTGGTTATGTTTATGTTTTAAGTGTGCTGATTCCAAATATGTAATTATGAAGATGGGATGTGTAGTTTTAAAGTTACAGTGTATGGCTAAAAACTGTATTTTTACTGCCTGTGTTTAATTATGTTAATCTCTTCCCAAACGTCATTTCGTTCAAAGTGGAGAGAATGTTAAAAAAATATATTTTTGTTCGGAGTGTGAGAAATGCTTTTCAGCCGCTTCTAATCTTAAGCATCATTTGAGGAGCCATACAGGAGAGAAACCTTATTTGTGGTGTGTTTAGTATTGTTCTGATCAGTTTAATACCTTCCGCGTCTCCTATCAGTGGACGTGTATATGGCAGCCATTTTAGGAACCGTACACCTGGGACCCGAGCAAGGTCACCTCGTTCAACAGGCTTGCAGCGTATCCTCCAGGAAGAAGGGCCTGAACCCTTACCGGCTGCACGTGTCTTACCTGTACATGGAAAGCTGCTGTGGTTCCTTGATGAGCCAGCTGCCCGTGAGTTAACATGTCCCGTGGAGAAGCACTCTGTCCTGTAAAGCCTCACCAAAAAAAAGGAGTGGTGTGTTTAGTATTGTTCTGATCAGTTTAATACCTTCCGCGTCTCCTATCAGTGGACGTGTACACGGCATTGATTTTTATCTAAGCAGTAAACTTTTGCACAGCGAAGTATATTCACTGCCATTGAAAAGGAGTGCATGGTGGTGGTGTGGGCCCTCAAAAAGCTGCAACCTACTTGTATGGACAACCGTTTACCTTACTCACAGATCACATTAAATTTGGGGCACTGCGCGGTCAAGCTAATGTGACACCAGATAGTAGTGGTGTGTTTAGTACTATTTTTATCAGTTTAATACCTTCTGCGTCTCCTATCA